GGGAACCGTGTCTTAACGATCAGTCCAATAAACAAATACAACGTTCGTAAGAACTACTATTCAAAAGAATCTCAAAACACAATGATCACGTTCTGAGCCAAATGGCTTCAAAATGCACCAGAAACAGTAACCCGGAAACATAGGCGGTAAAGAATCTGTAGCGCTCCCTAGTGTAGGAAGTACCATCCATGGTGAAAGCATGTGAAGTGTTGACACAGTTGACACGGGGAAGTGTTGCTCTACGTCACCTCTAGTTCATTTCAATCACCAATCCTTCTGTAAACTTTAGTCCCGCAGTGGACTGATCGTTAGGACACGGCTCCCAGCAGATAACCGAAGTCAAGTATCACTTGCTGCGATCAGTGTGTAGGTGAGTGACCACTTGGATCAGTCTGCATAGGGACAGAGGGTGTGTGGTATTGGTCCTCGTTAAACTGTTCTACCGTAAAGTGCTCGACTTCGCATGCAGGTCGTCGGGCTACCGAAGAGGGGGTGTCATCCCCTCTGCAGAGGATCAAAATTGTGATGGCATGTCTTCGGATGCGGATCTACCTCAGGGATGTTTCCCAGACTGTTGACAATAGCCCTCTGTGCAGCTCTAGTGCGACGTAAATGAACTACTACAATAACAACAGCAATTCTGTGAACTTCATCTCGTCCCGCAGTGGACTGATCGTTAAGACACGGTTCCCAGCAGATCACCGAAGTCAAGCATCACTGGCTACGGTCAGTGTGCGGGTGGGTGACCACTTGGATCAGTCTGCGTAGGGACCGAGGGTGTGCGGTATGGGTCCTCGTTAAACTGTGCTACCGTAAAGTGCTCGACTTCCCGCGCAGGTCGTCGGGCTACCGAAGCAGGGGTGCCATCCCCGCTGCAGAGGATTAAAATTGGGATGGCATGTCTTCGGATCATCCTCCGGGATATTTCCTAGACCGTCGCCAATAGCCCATTGTGCAGCTCTAATGCGACGTAAAGTAACAACAACAACTTCATCTTATCCCTGTCCCGCAGTGGACTGGTCGTTAAGACACGGTTCTCAGCAGATCACCGAAGTCAAGCATCACTGGCTGCGGTCAGTGTGCGGGTGGGTGACCACTTGGATCAGTCTGCGTAGGGATCGAGGGTGCGGGGTATTGGTCCTCCTAAAACTGTTCAATCGTAAAGTGCTCGACTTCGCGCGCAGGTCATCGGGCTACCGAAGCAGGGGTGCCATCCCCGCTGCAGAGGATTAAAATTGGGATGGCGTGTCTTCGGATCATCCTCAGGGATGTTTCCCTGATTGTCACCTATAGCCCATTGTTCAGCTCTAGTGAGACGTAAATGAACAACAACTACAACGTAATTGATAAGCGAGCTATAAGCGAAACACTGCAAAGGGCTCCAAAAAGGCGAGATAGTCATCATCATCTTTCTGCATTTGTTTTTGTTTAGAAGCGAATAATTGGCGAATGTACGTGCAAATTGTTATAATTCGAGGTATTTTATTTTATTATTCAAAAAATCGCTATAAAAATTTTTAGAACAATGTACTGTTTTTCATTTTTCAATTATTTCTAAAAAATATTTTCTAATCGATGTCATGACTAAGTTGCTGGAGCAATACAAGTTAATGTGAAAATATTTAATTCTGGTCTTTAAGATAATGATTTTGGATACCTAAATCATTTGTTATGTATCTTTACATGAACACCTGATCGGGTCATGTCAATGAATGGAATCCCAGAGTTGTCCGTTAATCTTAGAACCATTATAATTATTATTGATCAGTGGCGTACGCAGAATTTTTTCAAGGGGGGTGTTCATAATTTTCTGAAATTACTAAAAGAAATTCGAGTATGTAATTAAGCACTATTATTTCCCTAATTTAGACAGCTAACAATTTTTATTTAGACAGCATTGTTTAGTTAAATTTTGATTTTATTTTTTAAGTTTAAGAGCATAGTGTAATATNTTACTAAAAGAAATTCGAGTATGTAATAAAGCACTATTATTTCCCTAATTTAGATGGCTATTAATTTTGATTTTTTATTTAGACAGCATTGTTTAGTTAAATTTTGATTTTATTTTTTAAGTTTAAGAGCACAGTCTAATATCTTCTCGCATGTAATATCTTCTGAAAAAAGTCCAATGTCCCATGGGTGGGAAGTAACACTTTGAGGGCCACTTTCACATTCATCAGATTTTGTTATGCTTGAAATGTTTTCTTCAACGGAAGTCTGACATTTCTGTTCAATAGAAAAACTTACATTGGTACCAGATGCTGTCACCTCACTAATTTCAGGTCGTGATTTTTTCTCAAAATGATTAAATATTGTTAAATTATTGCGTTTTGGCATCCTAAAGATCCAAGAACAGTAAATATATACATATATTTATTGGTATAGAAATATCCGCTATGCTACTATATCAAAGTTTCGAGCTGGAATGAATAACTTTAACGACCACAGTATCTCCAATGGTATTGTTACTGATCTCTTCACTAGTCGAAATAGTGGCGACGACGGGTTCGGCGATTGAATTAACTTTTTGTTAAGACAAAACGAAGCAGATTTAGCGACGAGCTCCGAAAGACAAGCGGCAGTGATAACTCTTAGTCTGACTAACTAACTCCACTGTACTCCGTTCCCCCTTTTATATAACTTTTCACAGCATCTTCAAAATTTTCGAATTGTCTCAAAGACGACAGAACGTCTAGGGTTCCAGAATCATCGCGTAAAGACCTCGCGAATGACTGCCAATCTCGAAAACTATCGCAACTGGCAGGACAGAAAGGAACCAGACCGTAACAGTATCACACGAATTTGGTTTCAAAAGTACAACTCTATTATAGTAAATGTTTTTTCAGTGAGAAATACCGTTAGAAAAAAAAAGTAGGCATAAGGCAAATAAAAATATAAAGTCTTAAAAAATAATAGCTTGCATAATTTCTACTAAAATTTTTATTTTTGCCATTTTGTCTGAGCTCAAGGGGGGTGTTTAAACCCCTAAACCCCACTCTTGCGTACGCCCCTGTGATTGATATTTCTGTATCGTAATTTGTCGCCTCAACTACAATCGCCAGGCACCTGATATATTCTTTTTCTTCTAGATTTGCAAGTTTAAAATCCATTCGTGCTTGGCAATTGTAGTTGGCGCGACAGATCCATAGAATATGTTAATTGTAAACAAATTTTTATGAGATGCACTATAGATTTCTTCTTTGTGATAAAGGATATAAAAAGTAATCAGGTAATTTCATTTGCATACTTTCTTGTTTTGGATGATTTCTTTTTCCTGATCTGAAAAACCAGGATATTTCCGTATCGTGATCTGTTGTGCCAACTAGATTACTACAATCACCAAGGTGCCTAATAGATTTTAAACTTTTTTTAAAAATAAACTTGTAGATGTTAGCCCTGGGGTGGCTGCGAGCTATATCGTTCTAGTTAGTCCCCTTCTGCGATGTTAGTCCCTTTCTGAGCAGAAGACTCTGCTATTATTCTGCCACAGAAATCTCAGGGCTGCTGCCCTGAAGTTTCCAAGACTTGTTGATTATTCTGCCACAGATCACAATATGGAAATCTCACGTTTAACAGAATAATCGCCAATTTTTGGCGACTTACTGGTAGCCGCCTCCGATAAACAAAAAAAAGAAAACATCGTAGAAGGAGACTTACTCAACAGGTATAACTAATAGCCACCTCCGGACAAACCTCTGCATGATTTTTTTAAAAAAAAAATTGAGAATTTAAAATCCATTTGGTGATTGTAGTTGACGTGACAGATCACGCTACTGAAATATCTCCCGTTTTTTTCTCACCAGCTGCAATCATCAAGATACCAAATGAATTCTGAACTTGGCAATGTTTTTGCAAACCTGTAGTAAAAAAGCACATAGAAGGTTATTCGGGGGTGGGTACGAGTTATACTTTTCAAGTTGGTCCTCTTCTGTGATAATTTTAGTTTCTTGTGGGGCTGCTGCCCAGTAGTTTAATTTGTTAGTAATTGTAAAGCAATTAATCACGGTACAAAAATATACCCACTTCATGTTTTTTTTTTAAAAAATTGCCAGCTTAAAAAACATTTGGCTCCTTGCGGATTGCAATTAGTGCGGCAGTTCAAGATATGAATTATCCCCTAAAACAAAAAAGGATATTTCTGTATCATGATCTGTCATATCAACTACAATCACAAAGGCATCATATGGATTTTAAAAGTGTAATTTTCTTTGAAATTTTTTTTTATCAAAATAGAGAGGTTTGCCCTGGATCTGCCATAAGTTATACCCTTTGAGTTACTCTCCTTCTGAGATATTTTTGTTTCTTGCAGACCATTTCCAAGACTTGGCAATTTTTCTATCACCTATCAAAATACTGAAGCCTTTCTGTATCATATTTAATTTTATATTAATACTCTTAAGATTTTAACATTTACTAATTTTTTTAAAAATTTAATTTTTAACAGGAAGGATACTAGAAGTTTATCATGGCTGAGTTGCATTATACAGACTCAAAATTTGATCCTGGTAAGTGTCTTGCCTGTTTCATTTGTATGCATTTTTTTTAGTTGTAATTTTCACCTAAAAATTTAAATTTGACTCTTTGCAAATTATAATTAGTCATCATTTTTGACATCTGACTTTCAAAATTCCGTGATTCCACTTCTGGTGAAGCTATACCATAAACAGGAAGTTACAGGTATGACATTGCATACTCTGATTAGCAGCGGGATTCTGGACCAAAAGTTATGGGTTTGACATCACATGCTTGAGTCTTCGTCCTTCTCTGATACTTTTAACAATGAAATCAGTATTTCCCAATTCTTTCGTTTAGAGTAGAATAACTTTATTTGTATTCACATATTTTAAAAATCATACATTGTGATTTGTCTTTTCATAATTTATAAATCACGCATTTTGATTCATAATCACACTATTTAATCACACATTTTCAATTCAAATTCACACTATTTAAAAATCGCGCGGTGCGATTTATATTCACAAGATTTAAAGATCACACATCATGGTTCGTATTCATGCTATTTAAACCAACATGTTCTGATTCGTATTCACACCATTTAAAAATGAAATTCCAATCTGTATTCACATAATTTAAAAATTGCTCATCATGATTTGTATTTACACGATTTAAAATTTACACATTGCAAATTGTATTCTTATAATTTAAATATCACCCATCACAATTTTTATTCATGCTATTTAAAAATACACAGCTTTATTTCAGCTGAGAACATATTTCATATTTCAGCTCCGATCAGATTTCAGCTGAGCTGACTAAGACTGAAAATAGTTTAATTGAAAGAGAAAATGGTGCTTATTCTTTGTAAGGAAAGAATAATGAAAGATTAAAATTAACCATTTCAAAAAGTAAAGAGACATTGAAGCTTCACAAATGATGGTTTATGGCATAAAGGGGTGCATTATAGGAGTGCACAACCTTTTAGAGTGAAGGGCCACTTGCACAACCTTTTTGAGTGAAGGGCCACTTGCACAACCTGTTGACTAATGAAGAGCGGTATGCATATTTAGTTATGTTGGCTGCAAATATAATAATTTTATCTAAACATTAGTGTTCTAAGAACTTTATTTTTTTTTAATCAGTGAACTTAGTTACATATTAATTATTAGCGGAATATTAAATACTTTCAATTATTAGAGTTCATTCAAAAATGAAAAATATTGATGCTTTTTTTAAAACATTTTTCCTTTTTTATCAAATATATATGTCTATATATATATTGGTAAAAATAAATATATAATATAAATTCTACAAAAAAGAAAGAAAAAAACTGTGACGCTCAAAGAGTGAAAGAATTAAAAAAATTTACCTTTTATATTTTAATGAGTAATATGAATTAGAATTAATTATTTTAATTTAATAAAGTTTATAGAATTTAAACAAAACCATTGTAGTACAAAAATGATTTAATATTAATTTGATATTATATTTTAGATATTATTTCTTGAATTATTAGAGCTTTTATAAATTTTAAATAACAAACGTTTTCTTTTTGTTTTTTCCTTTAAAAAATTACTTAAGCTACAAAAAATGTAAAATAAAATGGATAGCAAACAGTGAGAAGTTTAAAACATTCACATTTTTCTTCCACTTCGTGAATCTTTCATGTTGCAATAACATTGTATTAAAATATCGGGATATCGAAAGCGTGGGGCTAACTACCAAAAAAATGACGGAAAAATAATTTATACTTACAATGAAATATGAACAAATTCAAAAGTCATTATTTAATTGCACAATAAGAAACTTGCGTGCCATAATAACATTGAAGTTGAAGTATCGGAATCGTCAAAATCACATGGAAAAGCATTGCAATAATTTAAAAAAATCACTTAAACAATTTTTTTATTTTTCAAAAATTTTTTTTTCTTTCCATTGTGCTCAGAAGCTCTTGCGTGCCGCACATCAATAGTCAATGGACCACAGGTTGTATAACCTTAGTTTATGCTAAAATGAAAGTATAATTACTGTCATCAAAAACATAACAACTATTCGCTATGATATAGCTAAAATAAGAAAAAATAATATTATTTATCCATGTTGCCATGTTCTAATTTGATTTTTGTTATAATGTATGCATTTCAAAATATGTTGAAATAATAAATGTATTTTGATCATTTATCATTTTTTAACTATATACTTCATTTCCTCTTATTTATCAAACTTTTCTGTTATTTATCCAGTAAATGTTAGAAGTGGATTTTAGTTGTTTCATTTTTCAAGTTCGAAAGTATAGATGGGTTTTGCATTGTGTAAATATTTTATCTATTTCGAATTTTATTTGTAAGAGTGTACAACCTGTGCCCCTCTAAGTGTTGATGTGCGGTCAGCGGGAGGTTCTGAACACACAGAAATTGTTTTTTTTTTTTTTGAGAAGTAAAAGCATTTTGAAAATTTGGAATCACACATTCGACTCATCACTTTTTGATGCACCCAATTTGCTCACATTCGATTGTAAACCTATTTTCTTTCTCTATCACTTTTTCAACAATTACTGTTACGAAATTACACATGGTTTTAAAAAAAAACTCAGTTTTTTTATTCGATAATACAATTCATCTGAATTTTGCCAATTTCATCGTAAATTTGATTGATTTATTCTCCCCTTTTTTAAAGGTAGTTATTGTTACCCTTTTCCATGTGATTTTGAAAGTCCTGTATTTTTTTGCGATAATATTACGATACCTGGCTTTTAAATTGCACATTTAAATAATCGCTTTTCAACACTTTTCGTTTTTGGTGATTTCATCATATATCCAAGTTATTCTGCCATAATTGTTTAGGCAGTTTTGGGATACATTCTCTTCTTTTTATACCATTTATGTGTTCATATTTCGTTGTATATCTAACTTATTTTTCTATCTTTTTTTCTGCAGTCAGTGCCATGCATTTGTTTGTGATATTTAGAATTCAGATATTTTAAAACAATGTTATTTTAACCCAAAAAATTTGAAAATTGAAAGAAACCACAAATTTTTAAGCTGCTCAATGTTTGTAATTTATTTTGTTTTAAAGTTTTTGTAGCTTGGTTGATTTTTTTAGGAAAAATTAAAAAAAAAATTTCTATTTTAAATTTATAACACCTCTAATAATTCAAGAAATCGAAATAACATCTGAAGTATAAAACCTAATAAATATTGAATCTTATTTAGTATTATAATGGTTTTGTTTTAATTTTTGGTTTTTGTTCAAATCGTATAATTATTTTTTTTCACTTTCATTCTGCAAGCATTTTTTTGTTGTAGTTGGAAAGGAATTTATCCTGAATCATCTAAGAGACAAGGGCGGGCGTTCGCCTGGAGCGTCAGATAACAAAGGGGGCGAATAAAACCTAAATTTAATGCTCCCCTTCTCAAAATTATTCACTTCCACCTTTAAAAAAAATTTAGCTCAGGGGATAAAATGCTTGCCTCCCAATGAGGTGACCCAGGCTTGAATATCAGTGTTGACTGGTCGATATGAATGCTGCTTTTGACTAGCACCAACCACAGTGCTGGCATAAATATCCTCAGTAGTAGATGGATCATGGGTTAGAATTCCCTTGTCGTTGGACTAAGCCTGGGAGGTTTTTGTGGTTTTACTCTCCATGTAACGCAAATACTGGTTAGGTCCATCAAAAAGTTTTTCATGAAGGCTAGTTTTCTAAATACTTGATTCTGGAGTACTCTTGTCTTCTGGTTTGTCTGTCAGAAGATGTTTACTTATTGTACTGGGAGGAATTGTGAACACTTTTTGCATATACTCCTTTCATTTGAAATGTTGCTGATAATTGTGAACTGGAAAATTTTATTCATAAAACAATTTACTTAAGTACTAATTGATATAACGATTGTATTCTACAATAAAAACTCTTCAATAGTAATAGGATTTAGAGGGAAAATATTTTTAGTTTTTTGCGTGAATATTCTTTTTCAAGCATTGAATTGAAATGGAAAAAACAAATCTTGAAAGTAAAAAGTGAATGCTAAGTGAAAAGGAAATGTTTACGGAAAACATGGTTTTTGCTCAAGTCATTCAAAGCAATAGGAATTATTCACAATTTCCTGTATTGACCCAATAGGGTTTAATTTAAGAAGCATCTGAAAAAATTCTATAAATACAATTTATTTGATAATGAATTTTTTAAAAATTTTATTTTGTTTATTTAGGATCTGAGAATGAAAAACGCAACCTTCCTAGTTCACCTGGCCCATCGTTAAATTTTTCATTTTCTAGGACATCATCTACAGGCTCGATAGACTTGCTAACCTCTTCATCAGCCCATAATACGGGTAATCTTTTATTTCTTTGTTATTGTAACAGCATATGTTAAATAAGGAATTTTTGTTACTAATGAATGATTATTTCATTTTTTCCCTTCATATTTACTTTGTTAATATTTCAGGACTGCCAATTGCTACATGTTTTACAAAATATTATATAGAATGACAGATAATTAAGAACTAAAGATTTCACAATTTGGTATAATTTTATCAATATTTTAAATGTTTCAGCGCTGTAGAGCTGGAATGAAGTGGTGTTTCAAATAAACTTTTGAATCATTTACATGCAGTGGTGTGGAAAATAAGTTATAATCATTTATGAAAACAAATTTAGCTACCATTAGAAGAAATTTTTCCCAAAAGCGGAGAAAGTTAGTACCCCTGATTTTGTTTGAAAAGCAATTACTTTTCTTGAAATTAAAATTCTTATTAATTTCAGAACTTATAATAATTGTTCACAATGAATAATTAGAAGCGTAGAGTAAACACTTACATATGGTATATGTTAGTAATATACACAAATGTTTTTATAGAAATGATCCTTTTCACTGCATGTTACTCTTACCTTTATTTTTATACATATATATATAAACTCCTGTTTGTGAAAATTGCAACACCATGAAGGAATCGTCATAATTGAATGAAATTTAATACACAGTTGAGTGGTAGTGGTACAAATAAATTTTTAAACTTTCAAAGCAAACAAACAATAACAAGAGATCGAAATCAGTATTTTGTGTAGCTTCCNGAAGAAATTTTCCCCAAAAGCAGAGAAAGTTAGTACCCCTGATTTTGTTTGAAAAGCAGTCACATTTTACTTCTCTTGAAATTAAAATTCTTATTAATTTCAGAACTTATAATAATTGTTCACAATGAATAATTAGAAGCGTAGAGTAAACACTTACATATGGTATATGTTAGTAATATACACAAATGTTTTTATAGAAATGATCCTTTTCACTGCATGTTACTCTTATATATATATATATATATATTTATATTTATAAAATACTCTTTCAGGAATTTGTTATGAACTTTTATTTATAATGTCCTTAGAAATTTTGTTATGTCAAAACTACTATAAATGTATTTTTTGTAGGTTTCATGCCTTTGCTATACATTTTTTTTTTAAATTTATGGATAGAAGTTATAATATCTTTATATATTTACTGGTATGTAGATGATTCTGATTGTATTCTGTTGCTACTATCTATATACTATTTTGACTGATGTTGAATTAAGTTGAAAATGTCAGCAGAATTCCATGTTCATGTTTCAAAAATGTTTCAATAGTATTGAAGTATAAAATTAACCTGTAAGGATGATCAGTGTCTTGTTAGTACTTTTCGAGCAAATAAACATTGAAAATATCGATATTAAAAAAAAAGTCATGGTTGAATTATGAGTTTTGATTCTTACTTACACTCTTCTAAAGACAAAGAATTATTTAAGAATGTGTCCAAAACAGTGGAAAAATCACTCTTAAGTTTTAATCAAGGAGTTAATGATCAATAACCTCAAATGGGCTTATCTACTGAGTTTTCTTCAAATTATAGCATTGTTTACATTTGAAAGCTTTTACTTATTAGACCTCTTCAGAGATTGCACTTGGTTTGGTCAAGTAGCTAAATTGTTACTTAGCATGTTGTAAATAAAAATTTGATTTATTTTTGTTTTAAAGTCGATTCTAAATGTTTATTCTCATGGTCTAGTTGGCTTAGACTTCTAGTTGTCTAGTTGGCTTAGGCAAATTAGGATTATTGCAGTATGAGACGGAACGGTTATGATACGTGCATNCATTCTTAATAACACACTTATGGTGGCCGACTTCCTCCGGGTGATGAATTTCATGGACATAGTTTAGCCCTGCTAATTTTGGGGATAAGGAAGAAGAAGAAGAAGAGAAGGATTATTGCTTATGAGCCAGATGTTTGGTTCCCTCTAGTTGTCTCTAGCTAGCAGGTCAGAATGTAATGAAGTCAGTACCTTTGCTTAAACCCTGTTAGCTTGGCTTTGGGAAATGCAGAAAAAAGGGAGAGGGGAATTGTCTGACATGAGCTTGTAGAGACTTGTTCATGGAGGAATTGGAATAACTTACAGTATTGTTTTAGAAAATTGTTCTCTGCTGTTATTCGCTGAAGAAAATCATTCGGGTGTTCTGAGCTTGAAATGGGTAATTTTTTGAGCTCAAAAGAAATGGTGAAAATGACAATAGTGTTATATTGTAAACTGCCGAACTCTGTGTTCCATGAGTGGTTGTGATGACTTCGTCTTAATTTTTGGTCGTGAGCAATGTTTTGCCAATAAATATTTCATCTTTCTGCTTCAAACTTCCTTAACATTGCTTAGATGAAGTCTTAGAACATAGTCATCTTCATCATGAAGATGACTATGTTCTGCTTTTTATGATGCTGTAAATTTTTTAATCAGGTGTTCCTACAATCATTAACACCTTTTATGCTTCTTCTATTTTTTTAGTTCTAATTTACGTGTAAAACTTTACAAATACGCATTATATTAATCATATTAGTATGTACTATAGTTTTTTAAGGGTTTGACTCCCATCACTAGGCCAGTTAATATTTAAGTTATACATATAATGACTGTGTTACAATGGAACTGAATCATTATTTATTTTCATTATAGATTATGGGTTTATACATTATAGATTATTTTCATTTTACAAATGAATGATACTTTCTTATAGATGATGAAGATAGTGATCAAAAGTCTACTTTAAGTTATAAAGAACGCAGACGTGAAGCTCACACTCAAGCTGAACAAAAGAGAAGAGATGCCATCAAAGTAATCTACTTATGTTTTATTATTTTATATAAATAGATTTTTTTCACAATATATCTAACTAGATCTTGCATTTTTATTTTTAAATCTCAGCCAGCAAGCTTATTATATTGAGAAAAAAAATATGGAAAATATCACCTTGAAAGGATTATAATTTTCTCTAATGGAAAAAAGGAGTTTAATTTAATTGTAAAAACTCTTATAAATTAATCTTATATACAGTCCTGTTTTGAACTCTAAAGAGAGTACAACTTGCTTCATTTTAATTTTTGAATATGCATTTACAGTAAATTTTGTTTCTGTATAGAGAACCTTATCTTTGACCAAGTATTTTAATATTATCTTCTACTAAAGAAGAAATTATGTGGCTGTTTTAATGTTTTATTTATTCCCTGAATAACATTGATAGCTGTGCTAGAAAAATATTTTTTCTTAGTTCTTTTTTTCATATTTATTTTAATTTAGCATAAAACATTTTCATTCCAAAGAAGAAATATATAAATATAACAATTTTAATGACGAAACATAAATTATACAATTATATTATAAATCATATCAATTTATTTTCAAAGAAGATTTTATATCTAATTTTATATAATTTGTTAATTAAAGTTGTTTCAGAACAAATATGTTCTTTTATTTGTTTGCTTTGGTTGCATTAAACTTGTTACATCCAACTTGAGCTTGAAATTCTGATATTTAAATTTATATTTTCTATATTATTTACTAATCATGTACTATATTTATTTTTTCTATGATCTTTTTTAAGCTACTTGACTTTCAAATTCTGCATATGATATTTCATATCTTTATTTTAAATATTTTTCTATAATTCCTTTTTTCTTCAAATTCCTTAATTTTCTTTTGTTTACAGTTTTCATAAATTATTCTTACATAAAGAAAACTTGCATCTTTTTTGCTTATAATTATTTGATATTAATACCATCATTAAAAAGTGCTAGCATATGTAATTTGCCATGATGGTTTTAAAATGTCAGGGAAAAACATAATTTTACTCTAGAACCTGGAATGTCATAGAATTTTTAACACCATTAAATCCCATGAAAAACGGGGCACTTTCCAATTTTCTTCGCGGTTTAAAAATATAAAAAAATCATAAAATTAATTGCCAAACAGACAATTGGTCTATTATTGAGATTCTTTTATGCTAGAATTTCTGGAGATGAGACGCAAGAATACTCAAAACTCTTCTTTCTTCACTTTCTAAGAACTGTGTTTTTAAAATAGTGCACAATTTACAGAGCACAATAAATTAAGGATGTACAGTGTGCAAAAAAAGGACCATCCTGATCTAATGATGGGATCTTCATGTTCTTGGACTCAATCTTAATGGCTCGAGGAGGTGACCTCAAATATACTAATTACTAAGTGTAGATGCTATTTTAAGTTATGGAATCAGATTCAGAAACATACTTTATCTGAATCAACATACCTTTATCAAAAGATTCAGATTTTTGACCCCCTATGTATTGGGAGTAGTCGCAAACTAGGAAATATGGTCCCAATAGTTTGGTTAGGTTGAAAATTTAGACCCCTTAATGTTAATTTTACTTTTTGTATATTTCACCATATCTGGTGTACTTAAGCGAATTGAAAAAAATATTTACACTATTATAACATTTGTTTGTCCATAGATAATTCCATTCAAAAAGTAACCTTCATTAAATATTTATAATATTTTATTATTTTATTGAATAATGGTAAAAAAATTTTCGATTGTAAGGAATGCAATTTTTTTGCATCATTTTAAAGAACATTATTTTGCATGGCAAAATACAAAATTTGAGCAAAATCGGTTGAATAGTTCCTGAGAAATCGAAATTCAANGTAACCTTCATTAAATATTTATAATATTTTATTATTTTATTGAATAATGGTAAAAAATTTTTCGATTGTAAGGAATACAATTTTTTTTGCATCATTTTAAAGAACATTATTTTCCATGGCAAAATACAAAATTTGAGCAAAATCGGTTGAATAGTTCCTGAGAAATTGAAATTCAAATATCTGACTATTTTAAAATTCAATTTCTTGGGATCTTTTATTGCTTAATATTACTTTACTTTTTTTTAATTATTATTTTGTATTTATTATTTTAATTGCTGACTGGACACATCTTTACTTAAAATGTGTTATATAACTTTTTTTGCCATTTAATAATTGTAAATCGGTAACTAATTTTTATCAAAAAATGTTGCGTAATAATATGTCTTTAGAATACATTAAAACTTAATGAAGAAACACCACTTTTAGTTTTAAGCTTGAAATTTTGAGTACTTATCAGAATTAAAATTGTTGGATATATTTTTAACAATTTTATATTAAATATCTCTATGATCAAAATAAGGAAAATACCTATAAATAACAGATAAAACTTTTTTTGTTAATTTTAAGCTGGACACTGCCAAATATTTTCAGTGAAGAATGCATTTTTAGATGCATTTGTTTATGTATTTTTAGAATCCTTATTAAAATTACTTGAAGTCCTTATCAATATTGGGGATCATAAATAATTATTTAATCAAAGGAAAAAAAAACAGAAAGGCTATTGTAATTTCACAAATGACATAAAAAATAATTATTTAATCGAAGAAAAGGAAGGCAGAAAGGCTATTGAAATTTCACAAATTACAGTAGGGAATTATGGATTTGGATGAAATAAGCATAAAAATAAGTTTTATTGAGGTTTAAACGTAAAGGTGCTTTTAATAATCTTTAAACTGCCCTGTTTCTTTCCTCTGTAAGGGCAGATTTACAGTACACCCTGAATAACCAAAAGTAAAATTTCTCAGGCCAAGCATAGGTAATATTTGAGCATTATCAGTTAGTCTGTTCTTTTAAAATTCGTTTAAATTTAAGACTGAAGAATTAAATATTCATCAATAACAGACAAAGCCCTAATGTATAAATCAATATCATATGAATTGTTAGTCACTAATTTTAATAAAATATATTCAGTTTCGTCATTTAAATATGCTTGATTGGCTGCATATGTTGAAGGTCAGCGATTGTCTGTGTGTATTGCAGGTTTACGATTGTCTGTGTGTATAGGAAAAGTTTCTGCTAAATTAATTATAAATGAAGTTCTTTTCCCAAAATTATATTTAAACAATTTCCAGCTTAATCCTCGTTAGATTCCATTATCAAGTATTTGCAAGTAACAAAAAGTTTCAAGTAGTTCATTTCAATTTTTTTGTTTCAAGTAATTATTTTGATTATTAAATTTAATTTCAGAATAAGTTTTTTTTCTTAATTGTCTATAAATTTGAATGTTTTATTCGAACATATAAACTTGTCTTTTTGGAGACTAGAATAAATTTTGAAACCCAAAAAAGTGGAACTTTGGAATGATTCTAATGCAGATAAATTTATAAAAGAAGTGTTAAAATTTGGATAAGATTTTATTAAAACATGACCCATCATTCAAACTAAGAATAAGGAAAATAATTTGATTAAAAAAATGTGCAAACATTGAAATATCAGCATAATTAATTTTCAAAAAACTAATTATTTAAAAAATAATTAATATTAAAAACATCTAAATTTTGTTCAAATCAACAATTTTTTCCATAAAAAAGTTTTACAAGATAACAATTTTAATTTCAATGACTAAATTTAAATTACTAATGACTAGATAATGGTATTATTTTTGATTAAAATGTACTGCGTTGCAAAATGTTTCAGTGAAGTAAAAATAAACATTTTCTCTTAAAATTTAGAGAGAAGTTCTCTCTGCATTTCTTCAAGTTCATTGTCTAATAGGTTAAGATATAGGTAATTCCATATAAAGGCATAATTTCCAGAGGTTTTATCTATAGGATATATGATAGAATGTTTCCTAGTGAATTCTAAATCATTGATAAGATTTTTAAGCTTAAAATTGTCGAATTTAATGAGATGAGAATTATAAGGAAGAAATTGTTTATATTTGAAATATAGGGTCCATTTCCAATCAATGAAAAGTTGTACGGGTGTAAAGTGAATTCTAAATGTTTTTAAAATGAAAGAGTCAATATCTTCTAAAAAAATCGAACGTAACGATTTGATGCTTATCTGAAAAAAAAAGGTCTGAATTTTGTACTATTAGAAAGTATGTACTGAACATTCTTATTATTAAAAATATTAATATCACTGGTGACATTATATTTAAAGTTGTCACTAAAATCTGAATCTCAATATCGTTGCGTTTTTTTAACTTTGTACAAAATTCCTTATAGTTGAAAATTTTGTACCAAAAAGTGATATCATATCTAAAAGCCTTTTTTATGTTAAATTTCAAATGTATATAATTACATTTTCCTTAGAGAGGTTATGAAGACTTGCAGTCCCTTGTTCCAACTTGCCAACAACAAGATAGTATTAGTAGCTATAAACTAAGCAAAGCTACAATTCTTCAAAGATGTAAGTATATTCTTTGTGTTTCTTTGACTTATTTTCTGTATTACTGGTTAATATTTTTCTTTTTAATGTTCCTAGTTGTCTATTTCAGCATTAAGTTTTTGTTAACATTTAAAATACTTAGTCAGGGCTTTGCGTATTTATAGGAGTTAGTAGTACAATCTCTTGATTTTATCAAATCTTTTAGAATCTGTTAATTTTTTACTTACTGAAATATGCCGCACAAAACAAAATTATCAAACTAGTGGATTGCATTATTTTATAGCCTTGCATTTCCCCTTTTTAAAAATAGTCTAAAATGCATGTATTGTAGAAAAAATGTTTTGATTTCAATTTTGAATTACTGCAAAGCCTGTATTTATTTAAATTATTCAATTTTGTTTGAACAATTTTGTACACATCCATGTTTGGTGGGGTTAACTTTACCTAAACTAGTTTTTTAAATTGATTTTTACACGTCTATAAAATTATATGAATGGTATATTATAGGTATTAATTTCATGAAAGTTTTCAATACAAACTTTGCTTTTAAAAATTATTTTTTTTACTAAAGCCTAACGTATATATTTGGAATTTTTTTTATCTCATAAAGTTATTTTTATAATTATCCAAAGTGGCCACTGAACTGGTAAATTAAGGGTAACTCGGAATTTTATGAATCTGTAAAAAAACAGATGTTAATTTTACTTTGCTTTTTATGCCTCTACAATTCACAGAAAGTTAATTAATATGTGTGTAAGGTACATAAAAGATTAATATTTTTCCAAACAAAAGTAATAAAAGTTTTAATGCTGAATTTTCAGGGTGGGTGGCATTTTTAAAGTGCTTAAATGTTCTTATTTTCTTTTTTAAAAGCTCTAAAAGGTGCTTTATTCAGTGGGTATTGTTAAAAAGTTCTTATACTTCCTTTTTCCAAAATGAGACATTTTTTCTTTACCATGTCGATTTATACCACGAATTATGCTAAAAGCATGGTTTTCACATTTTTTTATTTAACGTTATCCCAATTCATTCAATCACAAAAATTTTCGTTGTGGCATCAGTCTGTAGCGAATGAAAGTGCCTATAATTTTGCATGTTTAATGAAATACTGCGGGTCCACATGTGCATATACTGAGCTGGATTCAGTGAGAAGAATTCATGCACTCTCATGTGCAACTTTGTTGCATTTTACAAGATAATTTCAATTTCAGGCTGCATTTTCCACTCTCTAAAAACGAACCGAAAAATCTCTTGAATTTTTGCTGATCACAGGGACCAACTAAGCATTGCCAATTTTGTTCCCTAATAGCAATAGAATATTTTATTTAACTTATTAATTTCATCTATGGTGAAGCACCATTGTCTTTGTCACTGGCAAACTAATGGCCTTCTTATGCAAGTCGTTGAATTTGACTTGGGGACCATTCACTAATTATATATTTACATGTGAGTCCCCAGACCAGTCAAGAATCACAAAACTTTATTTAATTTAATTTAATAAAAATATAAATGAATTGAGATTTTTAAAAGTACGATTTTTTACCTAACAGACCGTTTACTAATTGTCTAATTTTTTAAAGCTTTTATTATACTTTATTGCTTTTTATTATTGTATTGTTACTTTTAAAATTTTCAGCGCTCTTAATTTGTTTTATGAAAAAACTATAATATTTAGAGGCAAGATTTTAAAGTATAGTACGAGTTGAGGGACTTTCAATATTTAAATACAGCCAAAAATCTTATGTTATTTAGATTTGTCATTCATAAAACTTTAATTTATCTTTAAATGATTTGATTTGAAAACAATTGAAATAAAAAATTCAATTATCTCAGATTTGTAAAATATTGTGAGTGTAGGGATCATATAACAATTTCCATCTGACAAAAATGTTTAGCTTGAATAAACATAGTATCTACACTTGAAAATTATTTCAATATTTTTAATGGTTTCATTTAAAAAATAGTGAACCAGGTAACAAATTTTAATAAAAATTTATTAGGGGCCATTCATTAATTTACGTTTGAAAATGAATTTATCAAAGTTTTCTTAGTTTGCTTAATTCTTTACATACTTAATAAGTTATAATCAATAATATTAATCTTGTTAATGTTTTGTTGGATATGCTTTTATGAATAACTTTTACCTAAATCTTAAAAAATACACTCGATTACCTTTTCAAATAATTAAATTAATTAGAATTTTGAATTAAACTTGATTACATAATTAAGTAATTATTAATTTTAAAAAAAGAATGAACCACTCAATATTGAGTGTAAAAATTGTGTGTAAATTGTTTTATGGTGGCTAATATAATCAAGAAAAGAATTTTTTGGTAGAATCTAGTTATTTTATCATTATTAGGGGTCAATAATAGTTAAATTAATTGAAAGTTTGAATTAAATTTTTTACGTTATTAAGTAAATTAATCATTAAAAAAAAGAATGCTCCACTCAGTATTGAATGTAAAAATTGTGTGTAAATTGTTTTTATGGTGGCTAATATAATCCAGAAAAGAGTTCTTTGTCAGAAACTAGTTATTTTATCATGATCATGTTAATTTTTTGAAAATTATTTTGCATTTTACTGATATATATGTGTATATATANATTAAAGTGCCTATCCTAATTATGATATTTTTTTAAAGTGCTTAAAAATATTTTTTTAGTGCTTAAAAAGTGCTTATTTTTTGTTGAAAAATTTGCCTATGCACCCTGATTTCGGCTAATTTATTTAAATAAATAAATTCCTACTTAATTTTTTTTGTCATATTTATGCATGCATCTTTACAAAATTATATGAAACTTCAACTTCAATTTTCTTTTCTTTTTAGCAAAAGGTTCATTTAATTATACTTTGATTCAAAAATGTTGCACAATAGAAATCAAAAATTTTTCTCCTTAAAAATGAACTAAACAATGTTTCAACATGTATATATATATAGTAATTATCAACATTAGTTTCCTTCAGTAAAAAAAGGATACTATTTCAGTATTTTTTATCTTTCATAAAACATAGCTGCATAGAATAGAACAAATTTCTGCATTGTGCCTTGTATCTCTTTACTGCTGTCCACATGAACCTTTTCATGTAATATGTTTATTTAATATATTCTTACTATCCTTTTAAAAATATTTCAATTTTTGTAGTAAGTAAAAGTATTTTATTATGTATTCTATGTTCAATCAATAAGACATAATTGAAAATTTAATAATTAAATTTATGCCATCAGTTTCAAAAAATGTGGAAATTTGATAAAACTAATATTGAGAAAAATTGGGAATGTTTTTTTCTGAGTGCATCTGACAACATTGCTGTGACATTATTGAGTTAAAGGCATTATTAAGTTATTTAAGTGTGTATTTTTTAATATTTCCTAATTATGTATTTTTATTAAAATATTATTCAATTTCTTACTATTGTTTTCTTTGATTAGCTATTGATTATATTCAGTTTCTCATTCAACAAAAGAAGAAACAAGATGAAGAACTGGTTGCATTACGAAAAGAAGTTAGAGCCTTAGAAATCATGAAAACGTAAAATAATTTTTATTGTCAATTGAATGTTTATAATAGTAGTTTGATTTCACATCCAAAATATTTGTAGTTTTTTTTTTAAAAACTATCTAATAACTATATTTTATTTATTTATTTTGAAGCAATTTTAAATAAACATTCAAATAGAATTATTTGTTGTAAAAAAATTACGACAAAGATTTAAGAAGAATTGCACGTTTTTTTTTAACAAAAGCTACAGTAAATTATTCCTTTAATTTCCCTCAAATATAAAAAAGCATTTAGTATGAAAAGTTGCACCTTTCCCCTACCCTTACAGCTAAACCAAAGCTTCACAAATTCAAATGCTTCGAGAAGAAATGCTTAGAAGAGAATGGGAAATTTTACTAGCGTCTGTAACAGGAGAAGCAATGACTGGAAGAAAATGAGGCAAAGGATAAAAAGCAGCAGAGCACTTGAAATAAAACAAAATGGGTTAAATTGAAATTGTGTTTTGCAGTGATTTAATTTGTGCCCATTTAAAGTTTCTTTACTTTCTTCTAGATTCAAAGATTCATTTATAAACTTTTTATTATTGTTTTTATTATGACATAGTATTTTTAAGAATATTTCTGATAGACTCTATTTTGCATATGTATTTATTTTTATGTTGGTTATTTTTACCTGAAAATACATGAAAAATTTAGATTTTAAGCATTAAAGTTCTGTTTTAAGATTGAACAAGTGTTTTTTCCCTTTTCGTTTGCTTTATTTTTTTAAACCTTCGTGTTTATCCCCAATTTTATTATGACTCGATTTTTTAAGAGCGTTTCTGACACTTTTTTCTATCGTTCTTTTCTCCTGAAATTATAGTAATTCGATAATAGGAAATTTTCAGTTTAAAATTTTGCTTTATATTTCTCTTTCATCTTTTTTTATAGACATATGTTTTTATTATGGTGTGTTGATAAAATTATTTTTTTTTAATTATTACATTTTTCCAAAATTGTGATAAGGAAAACAAGTCTTCAGTACAAAAATTTGTTTAACAACAAAGAGTAATAGTTTTTTTCTTTTATTTTACCTTCTTTTTCTATAAAATTTTGTTTCTATCAGCTTTCCTTTTATAACCTGGAATTTTTTATGAATGTTTCTGATTGATTCTTTTTAGTCACTTTTTTCCTTAAAGTATCGAAATATAGAAAAAAATAAGATTTTCAGTTTCAAGTTAGATTCTAAGAATTATATATATATATATACAGAGATGCCAACTTGCTCCGGACAACAAATATATATTTTAAAGTGGTAGTTTATCATTTGTGATTCTTGATTTAATAAATTCAATTTAGTAGATTTTCATCCACCACTATTTCTAAATAATTCGTAGGCTTATATGTTTCACCACTTTATTGTAGTTATGTCATGCTCTACCTCTTAAAAAGTAAGCAAAAATAGTCAAATATTTGCAAAATTTACATTGTAGTTATTTACCGCTTTTTTAATTATTTTGGCGCGTCCGGAGCAGTTGGCATCTCTGTATATATATATACGTATACATACATACAGTGAAACCTTCTGTTATGGACACTCCTGCAAAACGGGCGCTTTCAAAACGGACATATTTTTAATTCCCCAGGAATCTTCTATGAATAAACCATTGTGTACATTCTCCCTGAAGCAAACACTCCTGTAACAGTGCAGTCATTTTTGCCCTGCAATGTTACTTTCTGTCTCTTCAAGCGGGACGCTACTTTTTCTAAATTTTAAAAAAAAATGATTTTTACTATGAAATTTAAGAAAAAAATGCCTCTCTCCACCATTTTTTTAAACATGTAAATTTGTGCCTTATTCATAACTAAAAACTTTAAGCTATTTCAGTTTTAAACAATCTATCATTCTCCTGTCACCTTTATCTTTTCGATTTTATCTTTCGCAAGAAAGAAAGGAGAATGATTCTGCTCATGTAAAATATTTCCAACAGAAGCATCTTTGGATCTTTTTATCTGAACCACAGGATTGTGACCCCACATGCTCAGTCTTGAGACCCCACAAGTTAAAGTGACACATTAAATGTTATCAATTCCTCTTCCCCACCGAAATTTCCTTTCTATTTCTTATCAGCCCTGCACACATCCTGGCTAGGTTAAAAGAATAGAATAGAAATTTCAATCATCCAGGTGTTCATATAAATCAAACGTTTATTCAAACTTTTGACAAATGATCGATTGTAAATACAATTCCATAGGGCCTGGTGTCTTACATGTTAGTATTGTCTTGTTCCTTTTCCTATGCATTACTGGCAGTTCAGGCATCAGTATTCAGTATCATATGACTAACTTGAATATCTGCATAATTGTGAAAAAACATTTTTATTTCTTCGTAACTACATCTGTTGAAAGAGTATTGGAGATAAAATTTTTAAAAGATCTTTATTCTTGAAAAAGTTTCTTCTTGTTCAACAATGCTTCATAAAGTTTTAACTTTGAAGGAAAAAATTGAACTTTTAGAGTATTCCAAACATCAAAAACGCAGTATCCGAAAATTGGCTGAAAACTTTAAAATTGGAAAGACTCAGGCAGTAGACATCATTAAAAATAGAGAAAAACTGACAAAACTTTGGCGTGAAAAAGGAAATAAGAACCAAATTAGAGTATTTTTGGAAAACGTGACCTGGATTTAAAATTGACAGATGGATTTTTGAATGGTTTTCTCAAGTTAGAAGCAAAAATTATTTAGTATCAGGTCCACTGTTACAGGAAAAGGCTAGAGAGGCACCTGAGAAATTGGGGATAAAGGATTTTAAAGCTTCTAATAGGTAGTTAGAAAAATTCAGAAAGAGGCATATGATTTCTTTTAAATCAATAAGTGGAGAGTCTGCTTCTGTGGATACTGACATGGTTAAAAAATGGTTGGAGAAGATACCTTCCTTATTGAAGGACTATGTACCCGGCGACATATTAGATGCTGATGAGACTGATCTTTTTTTTGGGCATAACTGGAAAAAACTTTGTGTTTAAAAGGTGAAAAGTGTGAAGGAGGTAAGATGTCAAAAAAAAGATCAAAATTTTTATTTTGCTCAAGTTTGACTGGAGAACAAGAACAAGTTGATTATAGGAAAATCAAATAAGCCCAGATATTTTAAAGGAATGAATATATTTAGGCTTGGAATACAATGGAACGAAAATCGAACCTGGATGACCCAGGATTTAGTGATTGAGTGGTTGCTTGAACTTGATAGAAAAATGGGTCACATAAACAGTTTAAGCTCTTTTTTTTTAATAATGTAGTGTCTCACCCTAACATTAATCTAAAGAATGTAAATTGTGAAACTGAAATTGTGTCATATTTCTTTATTACAAACTGAGGGACTGCACATAATCTCTGGCAGAAGAGCATATGTTCACCTATTAAGGTCACCCTTGTTTTGCCTAATAGTGTTTTTTAATTTACATCAAGATTAGTATTCTCTGATATAAAAGAATTTTTATTTTTTATTATAAATTATAATGTACTTAACTTATCTAAAAAGTTCTTAATTTTTACTTATCTGTATACATTTGTTAATTTACAGAAACTATGAAGCAATTGTTAAGGTTCATCAAAGCCAACCCAGCTCAAATTCAAATAAAGTTAGTGATGAAATGAAGTTTCAAGTGGTGAGTAGTTTATTGAGATAAAAGTTGCCATTTTTGTGTCCTTCCTCTCACTATTATCTAGTTCTTGTTTGATTACTTACAACCACTAGATAAACTTTATAATACATTATATTTAAAAAGGAATTACTACTAAGTACTTAGTTCTTTTTTAATATTTTATTGTCAAATTATTCAGATTGCAAAATGTTAGTTGTAACTGAATTTATCATTTTAAATTTTAATTATTATTTATTCCATCTACATTAGCATCTTGACACCCTTTTAGGTGAACTATTTTGTGTTCTTACACTTTTTTTTTATTCTTAGATATAAAGCTTTCATGGTAAATTAAAAAAAAAACATCTTTCTTTAAATAATAACTGTGCATGCTGATTTGTTATACTTATATATGATTAATAATTACCATTTTTAACTGAATTAAAAGCAAATTTGAATATTTCTTCTTAAAACAAATTATAGATTTTCTCATATAAAGTAAAATTATTTCATTGTCAATTTTTTTAATGTTTTGTTAATTAAAAAAAAGCAAAGATTAAGATTAATAATATTTTTTTATTAATTTCTATTCTTTGTGTATAATATATTAATTATTAGAAATAAATGAAATGAGGCTTAATTAAGATATTCTTTGATGACTTTGAATTTCTCTGAACTAAGTTTTTAACTAAGAATAGATAAAAAAAAAATGCTTCAAAATTTGTTTAGATATTTTTTTTTCATTGTCATGAATTTAAATGTTTAGGATTGAAACTGAACCTAAACTTTTGCTATTATTTTCTTTAGTTGAATTAGTTTTGTTATTCCATTCATTCTAAGTTCAAAATGCCATCAAGTACTTAGTGTGGTTGAGTGTGTAGAATAATTTATGTATTACTTTTGCTCTTGCAAGTAGTTTTTGAAATTTATCTTACGTGAGGCATACAACTCAATTATCATAAAAACTAAAAATAAAAAATAAATAAAAAAGAAAGTAAAAAACAATATAAAATAAATGGAAAATTGACATATTTTGCATATTAACACATTTGACATATTAACATATTTTGATCAGGTGTCTTCTTAGTTGAATCTGTAACTGAACTTATACATATTTTTCTTATAATCTTTCATTTATTCAATGAATTTTTTTCTTTAGTTTCAAGCAGTGTGTGATTCCTTGTTTCAATCTTTCAATTCATCAGTATCTGTTGCAAATTTTGCTGAATTGTCTGCTTGTGTATTTAGTTGGCTGGAAGAATATTGTAAGCCTCAAACATTGCAAGAAATGATGATAAATTTGCTTTGTCAACTGAATAATCAAATCACCTAAATGTACTGGTCAGTTGTACAATGCGATGCAAATATTTTTTTAATTGATTTGTAAATCTAAAGATGTGCAATGATGTTTCTGGTCTGTTAAAACTTCAGATTTTTATATTCACTTATAGCAATTTTTGTCATTTAAAATGTGATACCTTACAGAAAGAATTAAAATGAATTTTGTTATTTTTTTAAAACTATATTCTTGTTCTTTTGGATTCTGTTGTGTTTGACCATTTATGTTATTTAAAAAAATCTCTTCTAAATTCTGTTATTATAATAAAAACTTCAAAATGTTGACATAATTTATTATAGCATTATTATATACTCTACTATCCCTTATATCCTTATAAGAATTTTATTATACCATTATTATATATTCTACAATCTTGGTTGGATTTGTTAATCTTTCAGTCTATTTTCTTAATTGCTTTTCTCTATTATTTCTTAATCTATTTTAACACCTTATTCTATTTGCATTAGGCTTTTTTTCCAAATGTTGATTAAATTGAGATTGTGTCTGTACCAAAGCTCGAAAAAAAATTTTAAACTTGTATTTATACTTGTATTTTAAACTTATGCTTCAATATTTAATTCACGAAATTAATGTTTACATAGAAAAGTCTGTTTTTTTTTTTGTCATATCGAAATTTTATGCTCCTGAACTGTAGTTTTTAACCTGTCATATTTTTGTTACAATCAGATGCTATAATTTGTCTCTTATGTTTTATTTTGTCTTCAAAATCGAAATCTGGTAAGCAATGTTTGAGCAAAGAAATATTTATTTTGTAGAATTGTAATTGTCTGTTGCAGCGTAGCATGTAATTGCCTATTTCATTTAAACAGATTTATATGATGATAAAGTAAATAGCAAATCGATGCTCTTTTAAATTTCTTATTTTAAAAAAAGTAATTTCTAAGGAAATGTACCTTTGTTTTACACATCAGTATAAAATCTCTTCATATTATTACTCTTATTAAAATAAGCATTTAGTCAAATCAGCAATATTTTTTTTTGTCTACTTTCATTGCTAAATATTTGTTTCAATTTTTCTTTTTTTAAAAAATGTTTTTGTATTATATTTTAAATCTTAGTGTATATTTTTTCTATGATATTTAAAGAAATCAATCAGAATTATTGATGCCTGGAAGTAAATGTATTTAATTTGTAAAAAACAAGCATTTTCACTGTATCAACTCCTTTAGTATAATTATTTATAGTTTGATTCTATATTAATATTTGTATATATTATATTCGTTAGAAAATAATATTTTAAATAATGAAATGTTCTTAAATCGTACAGTATCATGTATTTGAAAATATTATATAAAAAAAAAACTTTTATTTCTCAATAAAAAGTATTTAGTTAAAATGTAACACTTATTCTAAAGTTTCTTTTACAAATTTTAATTGGATAGAGTTGTAACTGTTTACAGATATACTTCATATTGCAAGTTTGTCACTTTTTTCCAGGATCTTTGGTTTAATCTTCATCATTGGTTAATCACTAATTCACAGTCTTAAATTGGTACCCCAGAAGTACAATCATAATTTGGAGCTAAGCAATATGTTGACCCATGACTTATTACTCAAACCCGTATTTTGTAGCCTTAGAATATTCTTAAAATGCAGAGCTATAGAATGATTACAAGCTTTGGTATTTTGTAACAAACTAATCAATTACTTCATCGCTAATTGGTTACACTAAAATTATACTATATTATTTTCAAGAAAAATCTGGATATTCAAAGGATTCATGTGCCAAATTTTGCTCAATTTTTTTTTTAAGCTCTCATTTTTTTAAAAGTATTATACCAACTTCATCTAAATTTTTGCAATTTTCAAACTTTAAAATCTTTATTATCTTTGACTTGGTTCTAAATTTTTTTTTACAAAATGCTGTTATTTTGTCTTTTAAGATTCTGTGTATAATACTCTTAAGCTGTTTTTGACATTGATTTCCTATGAAGATAAAGTAATTCAAAGCTGAATGTTTTCAATTGTGGAAGGAATTCTGAATACACTCTTTTCATTCACATGATTAATGTTTTGAATGACAATTGTGTTTTAAAAGAACAAGAGGAAAGTTTGGATGATTAAAGTTCTTGTCAATATGCAAAGTTTAGAATTGAGGAAACAGTTCAAAAAATGTATGAAATTTTTCTGCAATATCAAGATTTTATGACATGGCTTGATGATAGTAGGTGTGATGAACAGTGACAGCAGCACGCGAAGAAACAATTTTTATAATTATAATTTAAAGATTGATAAAAAGCTAAGGTTTGTGCAAAAAAGGGACAAAATGAAAACTTTATACAGAGATGCCAACTGCTCTGGACACGCCAAAATAATTAAAAGAACGGTAAATAACTACAAAGTAAATTTTGCAAATGTTTGACTATTTTTCCTTGCTTTTTAAAAGGTATAGCATGACATAAGTACCATAAAATGGTGAATTATATAGAAATAGCGGTGGAAAAAAATTTACTCAATTGAATTTATTAAACCAAGAATCACAATTGATAAACTACCACTTTAAAATGTATATTTGCTGTCCTGAGCAAGTTGGCATCTCTGTTTATGTTAGGGCAAAATGAGAACTGTAAAAAAACATATCTGTATTTTACAGTTATTCATTGTAGATTCTTGTTGAACATTGACCATACAGCCTTTACTCATACTTACATTCTCTTATTTCATGGTATTTCTGTCTGTTTTCCATTGTGAAATTCTTTTGTTATCAAAAGGGGCTAACTAATTTTATGAGTCATTTACTTGAAAACGCCAGGGATAACTTGATAAGGGGGACACATGATGAGTTGCAGCAATGCTTTGTGTAATAGAAAATGCACACATCGTGATATTCAGATATGTAAAAGTTATTGACAGTAGGTTTTTTCAATTTAGCATTATTTTTCATGTGCATTGTTATTTAATTATCAAAAACTTGTATGAGTTCTAAATTATTTTGTTTTAGCCACATTCAACTAATCAATATACAATCACATAACTACTAACATTTTCATTTTGTACGAACATATATTTTTAGTGGCTTGTAGTCAGAATTTTTTAAAATTTCGACCGCTCATGAATGATTATGAGACCTATATTTTTAAATTTATGGCTGTGAATCTGGTCACTATCACTTTGATCAATACAGGGTTACAATCAAAATATGCCCAGTTAAAAAAAAATATTAGTGTAAAAGCATTTTGACTGGAAATTTCCCTAAACTGGACTAAAAGCGTTATGAACGGTCTGTTCATAGTCTATACAGAAGTATAGGCGGTGCTCAAAAACGTTAGTTTCGTCTCAGGAGTCTTGCCACTTTTAGTTTATTTTCAAATAGAGGGTGCAACACTGAATTAAATAGGTAAAAATTATTTAACCAAAATAATAAATATCTAAGCATGCATTTTGTAATCTCTTTAAATATAAAATTAAAATCTGGAAAGTCAGTCCACTGAACAAATAAAAAATAATCTTATTAAAACGTTCATTTCATGCAAAATCTTTGAAACATGCTGTTTCTGCTTCATTTGTTTTTGTAATGTTAATTTGTAAATTTAGGATATTTTTGAGTAAAGTAAATCTTTCTTTTTTCAAAAATCAACTGAAAATTTTTTGTGAATTTTACTAAGGTTTAAAACAATGAAATAAAATAGTTTTTTTTAAACCATTATCAGTTTAAATTTTCAGTCAAGTTTGAAAAAGAAAAAGAAAGTTTTTTTTTAAAAAAAAGCTTTGAATTTATTTATGCTACAAATTTAAACAATTAAACTGAAATAAATGAAATCGTTTTTAAAAAAGTGTTTAAACTGACATAAATTAGATGAACAGCAATCAATGCTATATATAAAAATTAGTTATATAGTTAGTTTGATAAATTACATCAGTTTGATAAATTACTTGATACTCAAGCTACTAGGCTCGATTTCGTTATATATACTGGGTTTAATTTTTTGAAAACTTAAAAGTAAATTTGAAATTTAAGCAAAACCATTTTGTTTCAAAATTTTAAATCTGATTTATTAACTTTTTTATCATTGCTTGGAATAGGATTTAAAATTGAAATTTACTTCGCCTTAAAATTTAGTAAAACTTTATTTGTTACCCGACCAGAATTGATGACCCAACCGGGTATTATAACATTTATGCAAAGCAATATAAAAATCGTTTAATTTTGTATCGAACAACCACTATGTTAAAAATGTTGACTACAACTAAAAACTGAGATTGGGTAGCATGGAGAGTATAGCACTCCATGCAGCTTCAAATTTATGCCACAATTCATCGACCGTAGTGACTGACGAGTGGTGGCGTGCCAGACGTTCGGTAACCGTTCATCAGACGATTTCAATTGGTGAGAGATCAGGAGAACATGTTCTGTGTCAAGGAGGGTCAGGACAGTGCGGGCAACATGCAATCTTGCATTGATTGTCCTGCTGAAACGTAGCGTTATGAAAGCCATGAAGATAAGGCAGAGCAACTGGCCCTAACACATTAGAAATGTAACGGCTACTGTTCAAAGTGCCGGCAATGCGAACAAGAGGTGATCGAGACGTGTATCCAATGGCACCCCATACCATTACTCCAGGTGATGGGCCAGTATGACGATGCTGAATGCAAACTGCCAATGGGCGTTCTCCACGATGTCGCGAAGCACGTATGTGGCCATCATGATGCTGTATACAAAACCTGGATTCGCCTGAAAAGACGACGTCTTGCCATTCCTGCGTCCAGGTTCGTCGTTGATCACATCATTGGTGCTGACAGTCCATGCTGCTGCAAACGTCGTCGAATTGTTCACGCAGGTACTTGTTGTCTTTCAAATGACCCCATTTGTTGACTCTTGGTTCGTAAAGTAGCCATTCGATCCCTTAAGGCCATGTGGATAACAGTCTTCTCTGCTGTTAATGATGGGGGGGGCAGCTAAGATCCTGCTCGGCGTTCCATATGACCGTCATGAACTCATCGATTCCATATTCTGCTATCATGGTATCTCGCTAACAGTCATGGTATCTCGACCAACGCGAGCAGCAATACTTTAGTATGATAAACCGCAATCCCGGTACGCCACAATTCGACCTCGATCAAACTCAAACACGTGTTGGTAGGCGTTTCTCCTTCTTACACGAGGCATGACAAAACTTTTTTACCCAAGAATAACGCCCAAATTCAACTTCTGTATGAGAAACTTACTGTCAAATCTTTTCTTTTATGCAGATTGTAGGTGTCGCTACAGTCGCCTGCTTTGCATGAATGCGCTGATAAGTTAATCAATTGCATACCACAACATGCTTTATCGATCCTGCAAATTTCACGTTCGTGGTGTGTCGCCTTCCTGGTGTAGCAATTTTAATGGCCAGCAGTGTATTTTAATAAAATGACAAAATTTGAAATGAAAAATATTTTATCATTTAGAGTTTAACTTTTTAATCATCCGATAACTAAAAACGTAATTTACATGGAATGAGATCTAAGTACAATTTCTTGAACATTTCGATACTTGGTGTGAAATTTTATTATATTACATATGTTTAACAGAAGATTCAAATAGTGGTTTATTGGTCCTTAATGTTACGAGTCTATCTCTGATTAGATCCTTACAATTTGGACCCCTAAAATATAAAGCAAGTATCAATTTGCATATCTGATTTTTCATGTCTTTTCAACTAAGCAGACACCTTTCTTTAAGAAAATATATTTTTCTGCTTCAAAGGTGTCCACTTAATCAAAGTTTTTCTGAATTAAAATTCTGTTCAAAAGTAAAATCTGTCTCACATAAACCAGTTATTTTAGCTTGATTACACTGGGGAAATTTTTTTTTTATTGAAATTATACAAATACTTGATTTTGCCTAATTCAGGTTTTGGGATCTCGAATCTGAAATTAATTTTAGTTAGTTACAGATTTTTTAAGATAACATTTTCTGTCTACTTTTCTCAAAATGTAAAAGATTAAAATCGTTTCATAAAACAGGTATCCGTGTAAATGTTGCGATAAATTTCCAGGGGCGTTAGGGCACATCAGAATTAAAGTTACACAGGAACCCAGGCCCAGAAATGTCGTACGCAGACACGGGCGTTTCCCCTATTATGACTTGTTCAGAAGCACCCGAAAAAACAGTTTATAATACAGAAGTTTCCCTAGAGGCGTAAGATGATATTTTTAGGCATGAATTCCTATGCAGTTTTAATCCTGATGATATGCCCTAACTTACATAGAAGTTTATCGCAACATTTATGCTCCCCCCTGTTATATACAACGTTTTTAAACTTTTACAGGGCGCAATAAAATAAAACGGTTCACCCCAAATAATATTGATCTAATAGATCAGATCTTCACGTTCTAGGACTCAATTTTAATGGTTCAAGAGGGTGATCTCAAATATGCTAATAAATTAGTGCAGACGATATTTTAATTATGAAGTCAGACACAAAAGCGTACTTTC